TAGATAAAGTTGATTCAATCAAAAATATTCTCTAGTCTCATACAGGGATATAGTCAAATGGGACAAATTTTTCTTCCAAGAATGTCTGAGGTTTGCCTGTTAAAGGTCTTATATACTGTCACAGGTTTTATATATATACAGCTATAGTCCCTGAAGTCCTAACACTTCTTATAATTGCCTCTTCCTTTCTGAACAGTATCAGAACAAGTTTACTAACACAAGTTTTAACTAAATTTTGCATAAGAAGTGTGGGAGTACAACTCCACATTCCTAGTTCCTTCACATAATAAGACACATACTTCTCTACCATTACTTGTAAATAAGATATTACCTGCTTCCCCCACCAAAACCCACTATTTTTACCCCAGGATAATCTATTTTCACCTTACTACTTTTTTTTTTAACACAAGATGAGAATATCGTAATAATTTCACTTCCCACGCTCTTCCTTCCATGAGACCTTCAAAATCCTTTTATTATGACCTCCATTTCATCCCATTCCATAGATTATTCAATGTTTTCAGCTCTAGATATTACAATTTTCCTTATATTATGCCCACTTCATTACCAAGACTTCTCACTGACCATGTCAATCTAATTTCCAATTTGTCAATCATTTGGGGGAAGCAAAATAAAGTAACAATAAGATGATCTTGACCAGGCTGCTGAGGAAGCATGCGAATTAAGTACAGAAAAGGGAGAATTGATCCCACAAATTTACATAATTATATTTATATAAACAATAATTTAAATAATTAAATATAAATAAAATAATTTAAAAGATAGATTATAAATGGAAGTGAGACGCAGCATAATGTAATGGTTATGAAGGTACACCTACTAGCTACGCGGCCTTGGGCAAGTTGCTTAGTCTCTTTGTGCCTCATACGTAAAATGAGAATACAAATAGACCCTACTTTGAGAGCTATTATTAAAAATTAATAACTTATGTTTTTAGGGTGCTTAGAATAGTGCTTGGCAAATGATATGTTCTATAGAAGTTATGTTTAATACATAAGTAAAATATAAAAGAGGCAACAAGAAAGTTTATAAAATTTAAACCCTATCATCAAGTTTGTCTTCTTCAAAAATATTAAATTTTGCTGGGTGCAGTGGCTCACACCTGTGAGCCTAGCACTTTGGAAGGTTGAGGCAGGAGGACTGCTGAACCCAGGAGTTTGAGACCAGCCTAGGCAACAGTGCAAGACCTCTCTCTACAAAAAAATTTTAAAAATTAGTCAGGCATGGTGGCACATGCCACCAGCTACCAGGGAGGCTGAGATAGAAAGATAGCCTGAGCCCAGGAGATCAAGACTGCAATGAGTTGTGATAGTGTCACTGCACTCCAACCTAGCAACAGAGCAAAACCCTAATTCAAAAAATATATATACATATGTATATATGCTCTGTTCTATGTGCTTCACATGCATTGATTTATTTGTTCCTCACAATAGAACTGTAAGGTTGTTAGTAATATGGTCTCCATTTTACAGATGAGAAAACTAGAGCACTGAGAAGTCAAGTCACTTAAGTTCACAAAGCTAGTACAAAGTAGAACTAAATCTGAATCCAAGTCATCTGGTTTCCAAATCACTCTTAACCCCTACATCCCTCACATACAATCTTTATGAGAAGTCCTGGTCTTAATTATTAGAATCAATAATGAGAATAGATATGGAAACAAACTCTGGTGAGAGATGTAGTAGAAGCTCAGATGCTAAGTGACTCCTGTGAGCCTTACATTCTTAAGGTAACTGCATAAATGCCCTGCAAGCTTTAATAACACCCTAAGGGAAAGAAAATTTTGCACCTAGGAATATTCAAAATTGGTCTTGACTGGTGGGCTCTAAAACAAGTGCTCCGTTACTATTCACTATACAAATATGATCCCTCTAAAGAAACTACGAGTATAGATTACCCCATCTCCAAGAAGGAAATAATATACTCCTCCCTAAACTGCAACCCTATTTGTTACAGAACATTAGCTGGCAAAATTTTAACCAGCACTTAAGGGACAAGCAGAGTAAAAGGCAAACACAATGCAAAAGAAATGGTTGAGAGGTTTGAAAAAAAAAAAACAGGAGAGTACAGAATCACAGAAACCATGAAGAAAGACTATTTTAAAAGGAAGTAGTAGTTCATGAAGTCAATTGCTAACAGAATATTAAGGAAGATATGAACAGAAAAGCACCTACTGGATTTAATATGAAGGAGACAGTAACCTTGGAAAAGGAATAATTAATAGAGTGCTGAGGAGTCAAAATCAAACCATGATGGGTTGAAGAGTTTGTGGGAAGGGAATGAAATGCTTTTCAGATAATTCTTTCAAAAACTTCAGTTTAAAGGGAAGAAGAACATGAAGACCTAACAATCACTTATGCTACTATGTGCCAATGTTCGAAGAGTATTATATATTTTAAATAATACACCAATACTATAACATAGGTAATAGTACAAGGTACTATTACCATTTTACAGACAAGAAAAGTAAAGTATACAGATTTTAACATAAGGGTAAAAAGCTGGAAAGTGATGGAGTTGGTACTAATATTTATTGTTTAATTTTTTTTTTTTTTTGAGTTGGAGTCTCACTCTGTCACCCAGACTGGAGTGCAGTGGCCGCTCCCGGCCACCGCAGCCTCGACCTGCTGGGCTCCGGCGATCCTTCCACCTCAGCCTTCCGAGTAGCCGGAATTACAGGCGCACGCTACCACGCCCGGCTGATTTTTTGATTTATTGTAGAGATGAGGTCTTGCTGCCCAGGCGGGTCTCGAACCCGCGGGCTCAGGCAATCCACTCACCTCAGCCTCCCAAAGGCGCGGGATTACAGGCTGAGCCACCGAGCCCGGTTTATTGTTTAATTTTTTGAAACATAATTCCAAGTTTACAAGAAGAGTAAAAAGAATTTCCAGATATCCTTCGCCTAGATTCCTCAAATGTTAACATTTCACTACATTTATGTTAGTTATCTCTCTGGTATACACACGCATTTTGTTTTCTTAACTGTAAGTTGCAGTTCAACCCCAAGATACTTGAGTGTAAACTTCCTACAAAAAGGAATACTCTTACATAACCACGGTAAAATAATTTTAATATCAGGAAATTAAACAGTGAACCAATACTATTATCTAATCTACAGATTTTATTGAGATTTTTCCAACTGTTCCTAAAATATCCTTTATAGAAAAAGAAAAAACAAAAACATATGTTGTACAAGTGGGGTGGCTAACTCCTGTGGTCCCAGCACTTTAAAGGAGACTAAGATGGGTGGATTACTTGAAACCAGGAGTTGAGACTAGCCTGCGCAACTTAGTGGGTCCCATCTCTAAAAAAACTAATAATAATTTTAAAAATTAGCTGAGCATGATGGTGTGTGCTTGTAGTCTTAGCTACGTGGGAGGCTGAGGTGAGAGGATGGCTTGAGCCCAGGAGTTTGAGGTTGCAGTGAGCTATGATCATGCCATTGCATGCCAGCCTGGACAACAAAGTGAGACCTGGTCTCTTAAAAAAAAAAAAAAAAAGTTTATGTTGCATAGTATGCCATATCCTTTTAGTCTCTTAATATGGAAAAGTATCTGAATTTTTCTTTGCATTTCATGACACTGACATTTTTAAAGCATACAGCCCAGTTATATTTTGTAGAATACCCTCAATTTAGGTTTGTCTCATTTTTCGGAATGATTAGATTCAAATCATTCACTTTTGGCAGGAATGTAATAGCTTTGATGCTGAATTCTTTTCCATGTATCACATCAGAAGGTACATGATCCCATTACTGCCAATGTTAACTACGTTCATGCATCTGCTAGGTTTCTCCATTTTAAGTCACTATTTTAACCTTCATAATTTAATGTATCTTACAAGGATATACCTTGAGACTGTAAATATTCTGATACTCCTCACATTTTCACCCACTAGTTTTCCCCCAGCTCTGAAATGAGCCATTTCTCTGAGGAGTATTGGATTCCTTAAGTGGAGTGTATTTAAAAACCAAGATCTACCATAAAAAGGATGAAGTACTATATTCTACATAAAAACATGCTTAGTGAAGGAAGTCAGAAACAAAAGACCACATATTGTCCAGAAGGGGCAAATCCATAGAGACAGAAAGTAGACTAGTGGCAGCTAGGAAAAAAAGTAAAGGGAAGTTGGCGTATGATATTTTTCAGGTATGAGTTTTTTTAGGGGTGATGACAATGCTCTGCAATTACATAGTAGCAATTGGTTGCACAATCTTATGAGTATACCAAAACTACTGTATTACACACTTCAAAGGTATAAAATTATATTTCAATAAAAAAAGCCTTGGACACAGGTGTGCTCACTCATACTGGGGTATTATTGTTCCTAGGCCTACACAAAGGACAGAACTAAGGAACAGAAGTCTATATATTCATTTTCAAATTCATGTGATACAAATGTGCATTATACGTTCACACGACATCTAATTATCTATATATAAAACCCATTGAGTTCACATTGCTGCCTCCAATTTTTTTTTTTTTAAGTTGGAGTCTCACTCCTTCACCCAGGCTGGAGTGCAGCAGCACGCATGCTCGTGGTCACCCCAGCGTCAACCTGCGAGGCTCCAGCAAACCTTCTACCTTAGCCTTCCAAATAGCTGGTACTACAGGCATGCGCTACCAAACCCAGCTATTTTTTATTTTAATGCAGAGACGAGGGCTCACCAAGTTGCCCAAGCGGGTGTCAAACTCGCGGGCTCAGGCAATCCACTCGCCTCGGCCTCCCAAAGTGCTGGGATGACAGGCTGAGGCACTGACCCCAGCCTCCAATTCTAACCTAACATTGAAGGGTTCATTCCATTCTGCTCCTTTCAGAGGTGTAAATGCCCTCCTACAACAGTTTGAGAACTTAGAACCAGAATTTAAATCCATACAGTTCTTCTCTCCTAACTACTACCCTTCAGGATGACCACTTATTTTAATGACACGATAACACACTGGGTACAATTTAGCAAACATCTCTTAATTGATACTCACAGTGATACTGTCCAGTAGTTTGGCCATATGTTTAATAATTTCACCATGCTGTGCAGGTTGCATTTGCAGCAATTTCTTTATAACAACCACACTTTCAGCAACAACTATTTCTGAAAAAGACAGATTATTCATATTAAATATGTATAATTCGATTCAAATGCAATATGCTTAGTAAAATATAAACTTAATTAGCAAAACATCCTACATGACTTAAAACACTAGGTAGGCCAGGCTCAGTGGCTCAAGCCTGTAATCCCAGCACTTTGGGAGGCCAAGGCGAGAGGAGTGCCTGAGCCCAGGGGTTCAAGATCAGCCTGGTCAACTTGGTGAGACCTCGTCTCTACTATATATCGATAGATAGATAGATAGATAGATAGATAGATAGATAGATAGATAGATAGATAGATAGATAGATAGATAAACTAGCTGGGAGTGGTAGCACGTGCCAATAGTTCCAGCTAATTGGAAGGTTGAGGCGGAAGGATCGCCTGAGCCCAGCAAGTTGATGCTGGGGTGCTGTGACCAAGCCACTGCATTCCAGCCTGGGTGACAGAGTGAGACTCTGACTCAAAAAAAAAACAAAAACAAAACATTAGGTAAAAAGTATAACCATGAGTATACTCCTATATTTGGGGGGTTGAAGAGTTCACATTAATCTCTAGACTCTATTGCTGTCTCCCAGCTTCTGTTACCGCTTTGTAATCTCTGCTTCTTTAGGTCTGGAAAGCAATAGAGATTAGATTATGCTGTTCACCATAGTATTCTGTGTCTCTGGCTTTTATCCAGATCTCTCAAATATTGCTCTTTGATTCCTACTAATTATACAGTGGTAACCAAATAACTACAATCTAAATAGCATTTTCTCTATTCTACAGAAAACAACAAACTAAAAAAATTTCCTTAAGTGGTATGTCCAGCAAAGCAAGCAGTAAAGATTAGTAGTAGTAGGAAAGAGGTTACTATAGATTAAATAGCATGGACTTCAAAGCCAGAAAGAATGGGACTGAAAGCTGGATTGTTTCCATTTGCCCCCTAAATCCACTGTGCCTTTCTCTCTCCAACCCTGTGCCCTCAGAGGCCAATCTGGAAACTTCATCAACAACACTCTCTTGCTCCTTTTGGCTCTGTTAAGTCAACCGAAAGCATCAGCAGGAGATCAAGGAGAAGGAGAAGAAACTATACATTATCCTGGATCCCTCCCCTGCCACTTCCCTGGTATCACATGCAATCCCTGACTAAAGGTCTCAGGTCCTGGGAATGGCTCTCTCCTGCGGGTCTGGTAACTAACTGCTATAGCTCCTCATGCCCCTTGCCTTCAATCATAGGTTTGGTAAAGGCTTTCCACTGTTGCTAGCCTGTTAGCCCCAGGGTATTACATGATCCCATGATGATTTCCCTTAATCCTGCCCACACCTTATAAATAGTTCCTTTACTGAATTCTCTTCAAGCATCTCTTTCTGGTGTGCCATCTGTTTCTTGCCAAGGCCTTAACTAATAGTATTAACTACTACTGAAAGTGGCTAAGAAACAGATCCTTAAATTGGGATTAATGGGATTGAGTTATCATTCTAAAGTGGCCAATCAGTGGTCCAGTTTCTCTGGTGGCACAAGTAAGGAAATGTAATATAACTCACCTGGGCACCTGACCTTATGCAATGACTCTTACATAAACTAGTGTTAATGTTACTGATGCCAAGTAACATAAATCAATATTGCCTTTACTTATTAGTACTTTTTTGATTAATTAAGCTTTAAAGACACTCGAGATTCCCCTGGCATATATTACAAAGGTTTATTCTAATACTATACCAGAAACATCATAATTTGTGTCCCATTACTCTTTTTCACTAAAATGTATTTTCTTATCCTAACTCCCTTCAAAAAATGTAAATAAAATTTATCATCATTATAATCATTACTAAACATGTATTTCAAACTGAATATCTTTTCCCAATGGAATGATAAATATTAGCTAAAATTTAACTAATATTAATTCTTTAGTTTACAAAATGACATATTTCATTTTCTTCTTACAATAACACAAGGTAGGTACCTTATTACCATTTTAAAGAAGAAAGAGATATACATGGGCATTATATGACTTTGTCCAGAATTCAAACTCAGAACCAAAACATACCATTCTATCTGTAATAATGTTCTATGTTATTATTAGCAGGTATTACCTCCATAAAGACTACCTCTTGGTACGTGCTATGAGGAAAACAAAAGTAAATCAGAAAGAAACTCTGCCTTCATCAAACTTACACAACACTAGTAGAAAATGTAAAATGGTTACGTAAATACTATGCAAAGCAAAATATGGTAAGTGTGGTTTTAAAAAATCAATAGCATAAAAACCTATATTTTTAACAATCTGTTAATGCAAAATTAGCCTGATTAAGAAAAAATGCCACATATTCTTAATTCTCTACATGCAGAAGCAGGATTGGCTACAGGTAAAATATGTATTTGGCATCAGTTATGCTCTAATGCTATTAGTTTTCTAGTATTGCTGTCACAGATTACTACAAATGTAGTATCTTAAACCACATACATTTATCATGTCACAGTTCTAGAGTTGGAGTCTAACATACGGGTTTTACAGAGCTAAAATCAAGATGTCAACAGGGCTAAGTTCTCTCTGGAGGTTCTAGGAAAAATCTGTTCCTTGCCTTTTCCAACTTCTCAAGACTACCTACCTACCTTGGTCCAAGGACACCTTTCAACATTCACATCACCTTGAACTTCTGGCATTTTCTGACTTTCTTGCCTCTGTCTTTCTCTTATAAAGACCCATCTAATAACATTGGACCCTTACAAGTAATTTCCTCATCTTTAGAACCTTAATTATATTTGCAAAGTCCCTTTTGCCATGTAATTTAACATATTCACAGGTTCTGGGCATTAGGACCCAGGCATCTTTGGGACATCATTATTCTGCCTACCACAGGCGCCTCCTCATTCCATTCAGTAATTCTACTCTACTTTTCCTTCATGCTACCTCTTGGTTTCCAAAGACCTCAGCACTGTGGTGATACTCCAATAAAGGCACAAATTAACCCTATGCTCTGGACCTTTCCTAGCTTCCTCCTTGTCCTCAACAAAACTTAATGGAACGAAGTCTAAGTACAGTCTACTATTATACCCATTTTGCAAATTAGGAATCTGGTGCTCAGGTAGATTGACTAAGTTACTCAAGATAGACATTAACATTAATTCAAACACAAGTAGTCTAGTTCTACACATAAACAAGCAATGGTAACAGAGGTCGTGGCCAGTATATGGGAAAACTATAATACACTTGTTTTATATTACTATCTCTCTCCATTAGACTATGAGCTCCTTAAAGGCAGGAACCTTTTATAAGTAAATGTATATCTTATTAATGTATTCAACATTTATTAAATATCTAAACTGAGTCAAGTCCTTAGTAAAACACTTACTGAATTATTAAAAACTAGGCAAAAAAAAAAGTCTTCTGTCCCAATCCTTTTGGTTTACAGCAGATGGCAATAAGTTATTCAGACAAGCAAGTTTTGCTACTATGCTACCTAAAATGAATTACTTTAGTCAATTAAACTATCCTAAGTCAACTGAAAAATGGATTCTCCTACTAAAGGTTTTTAAGGAATCTGTTAATCAAATTAATATTAGAGAGAGAGAATAGACTGTTTTAGGGCAAGTTTTGAGTCTGCTTAAAAAGGTCCTCAAACACACACACACACCACTACAGGTTCAAGAGAACTACAATAAACATTTAAAAACATTGGACCCTAAATGCTATCCCTGAGGTTTAAAGATTCACTATCTAAAGAGATGATGAGGTATTCATTTCACCATGAAATCCAAGAACCACTAACTCCTAGAGCCTCAAAGGATCTTACAGAATTTAAAGAAACTCAGGTTTTATTCATAGTATTTATTCCTAAAAGTAAATCTGTTAATAGAAAGGAGTGCTATTGTCAGGGTGGCCATTTTAAAGATAAAATTATGATTACTTTCTTCTACGTTACTAATTTTAATATAAACATTCACCTCATTTGTTTTACCTCTCACTTTTATTGAGTCAGATTTTCAAATTACAAAAAAATGGTGTAGCATGTATGATAAAGAGATAATTGATAAGTTTCACGGGCTAATGATCATGATGCAACCAGAACCTGGACACCTCAATTTACATTTGTTGATATTCAAACTACAGGAAAAACCCATGGCTACAAAGAGTTTTGATTTACCAAAACAAAAAACTAAACATTAAAGTGTCAGGGTTTAAATCATAAATCCTCCAACTTTTGATTATATATTTTATTGGTCTCCCATTACCTAATTATAAAACAATCTATTATTTCCTAAACAGTGCTATAAGGGTAGAATATATATCTTTTAACTCAAAGTCAACAAATATTTTTTAAGAAATTAAAGACAAAACAAATCATGCTTTAAAATCTACAGCTTATAATTTTTCCATCAGGAAAAAAAAGAGTCAAAAAACAAAACTGAGAACACTTGAATATATTTTGTATTTGAAAGAACTAATAAATGTTCTAACTAATTTCGGGTGCTTTTTGTATGCAAATAAATTGTAAAAGAACAATTACCCTGGTAAACATTTGTTCATAACCTTTAATGTTATGACTTTATCTTCCCAAGGAGGGTATTTTATTTAGTCACATAGAACGTCATTATTAAAGATATAGAAAAATTTTAAAAACATGTTTTTAAAGTCAAATTTTAAAGCTTGACATAAAACAGAGACAAAAAGGACTGTTACTGTTAAAAACAGAAATAGATAAAATGATATGTATCATCTATCTCCTCTCGTTATTTTATGTAGACAATATTTTTCAATCTATCTCTTTGATAATTTTTGTTGGCACTAATTTGGAGTTTTTATTTATTTTCATTTTATTTTCTTAGACAGGGTTTCACTCGGTTGCCCAGGCTGGAGAGCAGCTTACCATAGTCTCAAACTTCTTGGCTAAAGTGATCCTCCTGCCTCACCTTCCAGAGTAGCTGGCACTACAGGCACAAACTACCAAGTTCAGTTAATTTTTCTATTTTTTGTAGAGATGAGGTCTAGCTTTGTTGCCCAGGATGACTCAAACTCCTGGTATCAAGTGATCCCCCTGTGTTGGCCTCCCAAAGGACTAAGATAACAGGTATGAGCCACCATGCCTAACCTTGGGGTTTTAATACTACATGTAGAAAAATGTTCTATCCATAATAATATCCTCAATTTATAAAATTTTAATGTTCACAACAAAAATTAATGCTATTTGGGAATAAATTTTTTCCATCAGAAGTACTTTCAACAATTTTACAGTTTTCTAAAGAGATCTACATGTGAGAAAAGATAATTAGGAATAATAGGATTATTATAGTAAAAAGATATTTTTCAAATAAAATATAAAAGATAATCAATTTTGTTATATTCTACTTCATGGCTATTGATATATACGTCAATATCTAGACATGACATGATTATATTTTAAATTCCACAAGTAATATCCATTATTTTACATGGAAAATTATGCTCTTCCTTAAAAAAATCCAAAAACTCATTTTAATCAACTATACAGTGATAAGCAATAATAAAAATCCTCTAAATAAATTATTTTAAAGGTGAAAGTTGACTTGTTTTTCTTCTTTTCTCTAAATGGTCCCATTTAGTCTAAAGTCATACACATAGAGATAACTGACACTCTGCCACAAAACAATACAAAATCTAGATGACATATTTCATTGAATATTATCTATCTACTTTTACCAAACACTTAGACAGTGTTTGGCTTTAAAAGATGATGCTGTTCCAAATTGATGGCTTTTAAATCTAGTTAACCTTGAATATAAAATTATTAGGTGAATTAATTTCTGAGAAAAAATTGTTGAAGATACACATCTAACACTTTTGATCTAGCTACCTCTCCAAGTTATAAAGTCATTTGCCTGCTTCTAGCACCCTCTGCAGGTGAACCAATATTATGCATAACTTATATAACATTAAAAAGCAGTAAAACAGAAAGGACACACAATGAAGGTGATTAAATTGCAAAGAAGTAAAACAAAGAAATTAAACTCAGGTCTGTTGCAGCAAAACAAATACTGTTTGCTAGTTAATTATCTAACTTACTAACACCAGGAAACCAGAATGTGTGCATTTATGTGCATTTCAAGGATAAAACGCTACTTATTGTGACCATACTACTGACACACAAAAAAAGCTAAAGTACAAAGATTAATAAAGGTTACAACTTACAGAAAATACCAAAAATATTTCAATTATAAGTCAGTTGAAAATAAAGTGAAATTGAACTTACCATCCCTGTTGGACAGCAAACAGACCAGGCCATTGAGGCACGTGTCAGTGACTTCTGAGATGTTGGTTGCACATCTGCCTATAGTCTGAATAGTGGCTGCTGCAAATTGTTTATCCTGGCTTTTCACATAGGTCTAAAAGACATTATTTCAATTAGTTTGTACACTGATACTATCAAGTGAACCAAACCCAATTAAGTTTTGTCACTATATAAGAATTCTAGCATATGTAATCTTCTCATAAGCACAACAGAAGGTCCCAATGATGACTTAGATTAACTTAGTTTTGTTTTTTTTACTTAAAGAATGTACCTACAGAAGCACTTTTTCAAGCCAGGCTCATTCACCTGTGGCCACAGTGGCTTGAGATTCCAAAACACATAGGAGGGAACAATCACCCAAAGACAGCAATTAGTTTAAGTGCAAGGTTGAAAGGGATGATGAGAGCTCTCTCTTTGGAGGTTTCAGTTCATTTACCAGCAGCATCTGTGAATCTATGAAAAAAGAGGCCACTTTTTCAGACATTAAACCTAAAATTGGAAGAAAAGGAAGAAAAGGACCTGTATGCTATTTATAGACATTTTACTTTCAAAATGCATCACAATGGTTCTAAAGCTACAACAAAAGCTACAATAGTGAGCAGCATTTCAATAAAGACTATATAACTGCTCAGTTTTTAACAAAATATACTTTTAATATAGGTTTTCTACGAAAGCATACTTTAAAGATACACTAAATAGTATATTTATATATACAAATTTTTAAAAAGAAATAAATCACTGATTTAACAACAGGAAGTTAAGAGATCTTTACAAAATTTATAATAGCCCTAGAGAATTTCACTTAGTTTAGAACTCTCCTAATTTAAAAACTAAGCTTTCATTGTTTACAGAAATAAATGTATTTCTAACATGCATATTTATATTTTATATCACGTTTACATAGGAATTAATATCCCATTTACATCTGAAATTTGTAAGTAACATTCCCAACCTAAATGAGAAGTACAAAATGTAGAACTAATACTAAGGTTATTTAAATGCAAAAAAGGGTATACATTTAAATGGTGTCTAAATAACAAATTGGGGGAGAAAAACCTAAAGATATCTAAAAAATACACAAATTTAGTGAAAAGGGTACTAAGAAGATGATTAAGTGATGAAGAAACAAATTAAATTTTCGTAGTTCCACAAAGGCAATAACAATTGTACTTACACTGTTCCCGAACAGGTTAGTTAATTTTTTCAACTAAAAAATATATTCATGAGTCTTTAGAAGAATTTTACCGAAAAAGTTATTAAAAACAAACTGCATAACTATTAAAATAACACACAAACATGGATATAAGGTACAAATTTAGACAGTGATAAAAATGAATACATGATGCTGGAGAGGATGCAAGGAAAAGGGAACGCTTCTATACTGTTGGTAGGAGCGTAAACTAGTACAACCTCTATGGAAAACAGTGTGATGATTCCTGAAGATATAAAAATTGACCTTCCATATGACCCAGTACTCCCCTTCTAGGAATATACCCAGAACTCAAATCATTCTATAAAAAAGATACCTGCACACACATGTTTATTGTAGCACTATTCACAATAGCAAAAACATGGAACCAACCCATGTTTGTGCTGCCAATCAAAAGTGGAGTGGATTAAAAAAAAGTGATACATGTACACAATGGAATATTACACAGTCACGAAGAAAGACAAAACTATGAACTTCACAGCAAATTGGATGGATATAGAGTCTGTAATACTCAGTGATCTATTACAGAATCAAAGAACTGACTACCACATGTTCTCACTCATAAGCAGACCCTGAACATTTACCACAATACTATAAGAAAGGGATTGGCAGTAGTGGGAATTTGCCAGGGGAGGGGAGAGGCACATAACATCAATAAGAATTCCTGATCTCAAACCAGATAGAGAAGGCCAAAGGGAGTCCCAAACTTTACCTGCACAATGACCACTTATGTACCTAAGCCTGAATTGTACCTCACATCTTTAAAATTAAAAATTAAAAAAAAGAATGCATGAAGAAAGAACATAGTTAAAAGTCTGACTAAAACATGAACCTTATTAAACATCCTGATACTGAATGGACTAGATCACCTATATTCTCAAACAGGTCTAGTGTGTAGCCTCTATACAACCAAACAAATTCACAAGATTACCTAAGACTCCCTTCCTACAATCCCAGGACATTAGCAAAAAGTGGACAATGAGGTTGGGCATAGTGGTTCCTACCTATAATCCCAGAGCTTTGGGAGGCTAGACAGCAAGATCCCTGTCTCCACACACATACAAAACAAAAAAACAAAAAATTAGCCAGGTGTGGTGGTGTGTGCTGATAGTTACAGCTACATGGGAGGCTGGGGCAGTAGGATCTCGAGCCCAGAAGTTGGAAGTTACAATGAGCTGCACCACTGCACTCCAGTCTGGGTGAGAAAGCAACACCCTGTCTCTCTTTCTAAAAAAAAAAAAAAACAACAGTGAGAGGACTTGAGAGAGATTACACAGGATAATAGGAAAATGGACATACATGAGCAAATACTAAGACCAAAACTTGAAAATAAATAAACAAAATTATAAGAATGAAAAGCAAATGGATGAAAAGCAAAAAGCTATGGATCATAGCTATAAGATTACTCGATAAGATCTTTTTCTGGCATATAAATGTGAGTTTTAAAGACATCTTAATTTTGTAAGAAATTTTTCTAGAAAAACATACAGCACGGAAGTAGAGTAACGCAGTTATGAAAATATAAATCACAGGCATACCATAATATTCTATTATTCCTGAAAAAGGTTTAAAAATCACATAGCTAAAAATGAATAATGTCTATATTGTCTATATCCTTATAAAAAATTTAATATGGGCTTATGGAAGAATTATACTAACAAATAATCCTATAAAAGTTGGAGACTGATGAAAACCCTGTGATTAGTATATAGCATGTGATACGTTTTTGTTAAGAAAACTGGTGAAAGAATGTAAAACTCATAATACTGATATAAAGTTTTCTATGGCTGCGCTATACCAATAAGGCTTCAGGGATGACTCTTCCATCATAAAGGACATAATGTCCATGAAGAAATTTTTGAACAGTGTTTTTTGGGGACGTGCAACTAAAAAGATGTCCATGCATCAGTACACATGGTTTAAAAACACAACCAAACAAATCAAAACAAGAACAACAATTAAACAATTTTAAAAATCATGGTGGATCATTATAAACCAAAATTGTTTTTAGTTATCCAAGAGGATAAGGGGTCAGTTTCCAAAATAGTGATAGGTCAATCACATAGGGATAATCAGGTAAGAAACAAAGCCATTTTCATGAATGTCGAATATAGAAAGGACCACCAATAATGACAGCACAAAAATACAAAATCTTTACCAGAAATAAAATTTCAAACAAAGACAGAATTATAAACCAATGTCTTTCAAGTTCTATGAAAATATAAAAGGGACTATTATTCCATTTCCCTAAATCAACAAATTTATGGTTAATGTTTATTCTTGGAAATTTATGAACATCTTAGTTGGCAGTCTTGTCTCAAATCACTGTTATTTACACAATTAGATGTTTCTAGATTGAGAAAGATATATATTTAAGATTGAACGTACGTTTTAGAAGTTATTTTATAATTAGCATTGTACACAAACCTGAAATTCTCGAAGAAGAGTTGATATGTTGGCTTCATTTGCCAAGTTTGTCAAAATTTCAAGCTAAAGTAGAAAAAGAGAAAGTACACATTTAAAAAGAGGTACCAATTTGAACATGATATAGGTTAGGCATATAGTTGAAAGATAACATCTATTTTTAAAAAATCATATTGTCACCAGTGTGGTGAAGCGTTATACTCTTCAGGTGAACTTAGTCTCTATTCTTTTCTTTTCTTTTGTTTTTTTTGAGTTGGAGTCTCACTCTGTCGCCCAGACTGGAGTGCAGTGGCCGCTCCCGGCCACCGCAGCCTCGACCTGCTGGGCTCCGGCGATCCTTCCGCCTCAGCCTTCCAAGTAGCTGGAATTACAGGCATGCGCTACCACGCCCGGCTGATTTTTTGATTTATTGTAGAGATGAGGTCTCGCTGCCCAGGCGGGTCTCGAACCCGCGGGCTCAGGCAATCCACTCACCTCAGCCTCCCAAAGGCGCGGGATTACAGGCTGAGCCACCGAGCCCGGCTTAGTCTCTATTCTTAAGTCCACAATTAGAAACTAGACAATTGCTGGTTCTTAAAACATAATTAGGAAAAAAAGAATCTCACATTTTCACTAATTATTTGTCCCGACTTTACAACTTATATCTAATTACTCTAAAGAGTTTAAGCTAGTTTGACTTTGCCTTTTTTTATTAGTTATTACCAAATTTTGTAACAATTATTTTATAGCATTTTACAACGAACTTTTGTCTTTTATTAGTAAAGTTAGAAAACAATCTGTCCTTCATGTTAATACCTCTGTTTTCCTAATACCAATTAATTCTCTTGATTTTCTCCTATATTCTCATACAATTCCAAATACCTGGACATTTAAATTCCCACTTTTAGATTTATTAGTATAAGAAATGTGTAATTAAAAGTCCATCTCTCAAGTTGGATGGATTTACAGTCTATCATACTCAGTGATCTAACACAGAAACAAAGAACTGGGTACCACATGTTCTCGTTCATAAGTGGATCCTGAACATTTATCATAATACTACAAGAAAGGGATTGGCAGTAGCCAGACACTGCTGGGGGTGGGGGCCACCTAACATCAATAAGCATACCTAGCCGGGCTCGGTGGCTCAGTCTGTAATCCCGCGCCTTTGGGAGGCTGAGGTGAGTGGACT